TTGGAACCTTATTCCTGACTCTTGGCAGGCACTCAAATATTGCCATTTCTGCTGACATTCATTACCTGTCGCTATTTTATTCACTTATGCATTGGCTAGGTGGTCTCTCCACCATGTCCCACCAGGACAAGCTGATTAAGGCATGGGTTTCAGCCTACTCCTCATTATTGCATTCCCAAGACCTCTAACAGTGTCTGCTTGTGGGGGCTGCTCATGACAATAGAGAACTGAATTGATTTCTGTGAAATAGCAATCAGACATGTGTTCAAATACATATAGATACATGTGAGGACATACACAAGCAAACATCAGTATTTCTAGCATTATTTTTAAATATTATGAGAAAAGTAAATATGCATAGGAAGTAAAATGAAGGGAGAAACAGTGCTCAAATAACTTTTAAAAACCTTAAATTGTCAGGTAACAAGCAACTTTCATTTTTTCTTAACAAAATACTATATATTATGTACATATTTTAACTACATGTGTTTTCATTTCTTAACCAGAAAAGCCCTCAAAAAGAATGTTACCTAAAATTTCCATGGGTTATTGTGATAAATTTGTAGTGTGGTTTGTAGGATACTAAAGGCAACTATTTCTGAATCTAAAAGGACAAAAACCTGTCCATTTCAGAGAAACCCAAACAGTAGGGACAGTTTTAACAAGGTACCACATGCCAACTCTCTTTCTTTGTGACTTATAATTAAAAAGGCTAATTCTAGAGAAGTTCAAAGACATTATATGGTTACCTTCTCGTCAGCACTCTGGGGAAGAGTGCTCCTGTGATTTACCAAGCCTCCTGGTTTGGGCTTAGTGTTGGATTTTGTTTGAGGGCTGTGTGTTCCTTAAATAGCTTTTCTCCATGTTGCTTGTTGAAAATTGAAATCCCTGCTGATTCTGGTACCTAATGATTAGGTCTGAGTGGAGGAGGCATCTGTGTCACCTGATTCTCACCATTGGATGGGTCTGGTCTCTGGACCCCATTTATGGGAAAGAGAATGGTTCTCCTTTTTGTGGAGGTCAGAGTCAGCTGGCAGATGACCTGTCTGGATGGGTCTCTCAAGACAGAACATTTAAGAGGGCGTTTAAAGGATTTTTTCTTTTCTCCCCGAGAGCTATCCTTGCATATCTGAAGGATGTTTGCTACCTGTCATGATGAGGTGGGATCAAGCTGTTTCCAAGGGTGGTCCCTTGTAGTCTGAGGGTCTCCAAAGAGGAGGGGGAAGCAGATTGAACTCACTATCAGGACTGAGAATTGAGTTCTCACCAGTGTGGCCCCATTGCTTACTTCTGACAATTGAGTTCTCACCAGTGTGGTCTCAGTGCTTACTTCTTTATAGCGTCTGGGCAGAAGGAAGTACTGAGACCAATGGAAATATTCCAGATATGTGTAACATGCATGGAAGGTTTGCCACACTATCCCAGGCCAGGAGGAGTCTCAGTAACAGGGGCTTGGCCGAGCACCCAGTACTCATCTTCTAAGTTAGTGAACCATCTTGAAATCACTGGTGTAACTACAACATGATAAGTGTGTGCTGTTCTATGTTTCAAATGGCTGAATAAAGTTCCTTGTCCTCCCTCCTTACCTTCCTCCCTCCCTTCCTCCCTCCCTCCTCTCCCTCCCTCCCTTCTTCTGTTCAGGAGTCCTTCTGAAGTCACTAAGCTAGGACACAGCAGCCAATTTCTACTCTTAAGTCTGAAATCCTGATGCCAAATTAGTTTACACAAAGCTGTTAGCCATGAACTTATGAACATATCCAGATGAGTTTTTAACATGTTTGAATGTGAATCTAAGTCAGTTCAGGCTATTTCTGTGATATTTTACTAGCATATAACTGCTCAGTTATACAGTTTTCAAGGAACTCCATTTAGTTCTCAAAAAAGGGGAAAAGAAATGTAATTGAATTAGGGTATGGCTGTGTCCCACCTCTGTAAACAAGAAAAAGCAAGGTTAGTTTACACTGTTTGTGCCCACACAAACATCTGGAATAGAGAGTGTTATGATAACTCTTCCCACCAGTCTGGTTCCAATGTTCATCAACCCCAAATAACACATGCGACACTATAATAATTATAAAGCTCTTGGCCATTTGCTATGGTTTCTTAATAACTAGCTCTGACTTAATTATTAACCCATAATTACTAATATATATTTTTAGAAGGTCTTATCTTACCGAGAATGCCAGACTTGCTTCCTCTCCACCCAGGATCACATGGCGACTTTCTACTACATTTCCCAGAATCCTCCTTATCTCTTAGTCCCACATATCTTGCTTCCCTATTGGCCAGCAGTGTTTTATTCATCAACCAATAAGACAAACATATACACAGAAGGACTTCCCCCATCAAGAGAGCCTTCTGGAATTAAGCTTCAAGAGGTGATAGTGGGGGAAACTTTGTCTTGTTACCTCGATTTTCTGACTTAACTGCTGTAAGTTTTTCTTTTATAGCTTTTCTCTCTGAAAATTGTAGACTTTTGCTACTTTGCAGTAATTTTTTTTGCTTATTTTTGATCAGATTTCTGACTTTATTTTTAAAATGGATCCACAGATAAGGTTAGGCCAATAGACATCTCAAAAGAGGGTAGGGAATGGTCATGTGTCCAATAGTCACTGAGTATAAAGGGAAGAGCCCTCAACTTTTCTTTCCCTCACAATGTACTTGTTTCCAAGTTGTGCTTCCAACTGTAGATCCCTGTTTTTTTCTCTTTTTTTCTTTAAGTGAGAAACAAGTTTGTTTCACATGTCAATCCCAGCTCCCTCTCCCTCCCCTCCTCCTTATCCCTCTCCATCAGGTCCCCCAGTCCCCTTTCCAATCTCCACTCCAATCCCCAGGAAGGGTGAGGCCCTCCATGGTGGATCTCCAGAGTCTGCCATGTCATCCAGGGTAGGGTCTAGGCCCTCCTTCAAGAGTCCAGGCTGAGAGAGCCTCCCTCATTGTGGGATGGGCACTCATAGTCTATTTGTATGCCATGGATAAATACTACACAAGGCCCCATAGATTGCCTAGGCCTCCTCACTGACACCCATTCAGGAGGTCTGGGTCAGTCCAATGCTTTCCACACAGACATCAATCTGGGGTCCAAGACCTCCCCCTTGATCTCCAAGAGCTCCCTCTTGTTCTAGATCTCTATTATCAAGTAATTATTCTTATGTTTCCTTCTAAGTGTGTAATTCCACATTTCCATGACATACTGCTTTCATATATCACTTGGCATACCAATAATATCATTACTGTGTTTTAAGCTACTGATAGAACAATTACTTTCTCGCTGCTATGACAAAACACACCATTGAAGCAGCTCAAGGGAAGGAGGGTTTATGTGCCTCCTGTTTCAGAGGATGTCAGTCTGTCATGCTGGTGAATGCCTGGGATAAGTAGTGGCTCTGTCTGTGCTGCCTTGAATGTCAAGAGGTCACATCATGGGCAGATGACAGGAAGCAGAGAGCTTCAACTGGCACCACCAGCAGCTACACCAACATCACCCTTGCTTAGTAACAACCTCTACTGCAAAGGGCTCATGTCCCCAGACCGCCCCTAAAAAGGAATTACTAGCTATAGACCAACAGTGCCAACAGCATGAGCCAGTTATGGACACTTTACAGTGACAAGAAATAAATGCATTTAAACCACAACAACTGATAAACATTCTCTCAAGGAGCTTAAGAGTTGTGTAGTACTTCAAAGTCAAAGCAAAATTTGGTTTTGAAATCACAGTTTAGCCCTGACGTTTGCTTTGTTGTACAGTTCCGAGAGCAGTGACTTTACTCTTTCTCTGATGGATGCTTCCTGCAGTAGAGTTCCTGCTGGTCTGACAAATTGCTGTAGATGGTGTTTGTAATCTGGAGGAGAGGAGGATTGGGAAATAAGAAAATGCCAGCATTGACACTCTTGCATCAACCAGGTAGTAGGCTGGGTTCCCTGACGCCCAAGTGACCTCACATCTAATAATCTTACATGACAGCCTTTGGGCTTCTACACTGGGTAGGTTGCATCATGAATACCTGGCAGTTTAACATAATGTATCCGGTATTCTTCCTGGAGAGATTCCTACTCTATAGGTCTAGGGTGGAGTCGGTAATGTATTTTTCCCCCTCTCAAATGTCTAAGGTGACTTCATGTCCCAGATTTTTTTCACTCCCAGTCCATATGTAAGTTCCTGTCATTTCAAACTAACTTATTATTTTAGATTGTTATTTCCAGATTCACAGATTTTTGTCAGTCCGAGTTTCATTTGGGAAACAAAAAGTTCTGTAGGTACTTTAATCAAGATGGGGTTTGGTATAGGAAATTGAGTTATGGAAAATTGCTGGAAAGCTGAAGGAGTGAGTTCCTGGAAATGGTTCTAGAAACATGAAAGGCGGATCACCCATGAATGCAATTCTGAAACTGAGAGTGCTGAGAGGAGCTGCCAGGGCCTGTGGAGCATGTGATGGACCACTTCAGCCACGTCTACGTGACCAGGACCCTGGAAAGTGGACACCCAGATGCAATCCAGGGACTGGAAGTCTCTTCAGGAAGCTAAGGTGGACGTGAGATGACAGCAAAAAAATCCATCCTCTGTGACGTCTCCAGACATGAAAATCTACAAAAAGAAGGAGAGGTGGTTAAGGGTGACACTGTCTTACTTCTGAATCACAAATCTTTTTTTTTTTTTTGAAACAGGGTTTCTCTGAGGCTTTGGAGGCTGTCCTGGAACTAGCTCTTGTAGACCAGGCTAGTCTCGAACCCACAGATATCTGCCAGCCTCTGCCTCCTGAGTGCTGGGATTAAAGATGTGCACCACCACCTCCCAGCTCAAATCTTCTTAAATTATGTTCTATTTTCAAGACTATAATATAGCTACATTAGCTCACCCATCTCCTTTCTCCTTTCAAATCTTCGCATATACTCCTCCTGCTCTCTTACAAATTCATGACTTCCTTTTTTCCCCACCAATTGTTGTTACATAAATGTATGTATACCTATATGTTCCTAAATATGTAAGTACCTACCTCCTGCTCAGTCTGTATAATGTTACTTGTAGGTGTGCATCTCAAATCTCGAAGCAGGTTATCTGGTGCTTGATCCTGACTCATATCCAACTCCCTGGTTCACAGGTGGTAGGCGGGTTGCCACTGTTAGCTTTTCAGTTTAGGAAGCTAGAAAAAAGATATGGCATGGGTATGAAAGGAGCAGTGCCCATCATGGACAGGGCACAGGGCAGTTCTTGAGGAGTCTGCAGGGCAAAGTCATTTGTCTAACTAAACAGACATGTGCCAGTCAGGAAGTGTCCAAAGCAAGCTGTGATTGTTTCTCTAGAACCCAGAAGGATGGAATGCCTGATCTGATCTTTGAAAATTAATCTGACGATAAGGTATTCATCCATTAGATGAGTGGAGGACAAAATGTCAGGTGTGCTCATACTGGGGTTGGAAGCCACCTCCTCTCACAGGCCATTCTATCATTGAGCTGTTTCTCTAGGCTTTAAAAAATTTGAAACATGTACTGGCTAAGTTACATAGGCTAACTCTGAACTCACTCTTTATCCAAGGCTGTCCTTGAGTTTCAGATCATCTTTTATCTTCATCCCCCAAGTAGCTGAAACTCCAGGCATGTGCCTCCAGTGCTATTGATGCTTACTTTCACTTTAAAGGTGTTTTGGTTTGATGCTACTGCGTTTTGAGTCCAGTCTTTATTATGAGTACCTGTAGTTTTTATTCATTATTTCCTATTTTCTCTGTTGACATCTTTGGGGAAAAAAAGTTCAAATGTACAGAGAAGTTGAAAGTTGTGTGATTAACTGCATATCACAAGCCAGTTATTCTTAACCTTCTTAATGCTGCAACCCTGTAATACAGTTCCTCAAGTTGTGGTGACCCCCAACCATAAGATGATTTCATTGCTGCTTCATAACTCTAATTATGCTACTGTTATGGATGGTACTACAAATATCTGATATGCAGGATATCTGATATGCAACCTGGATTCTTCAAATCATTTGGGAGAAATGGTTATGCCTCACTTCTAAGTGTTCAGCAGAAATGGAGAGACCACGGGATTCTCTTGCATTAGCTGCCCAATGTCATACCTAATAAATGTAATTATCCCTCTCTGGTGTATAGATTCATAGTATACATGTCCAAATGATACTTTCCTCCTCCTCTCCCTTCCCCTCCACCTCCTCCTCTTCTCTCTTTTTAGTTTTTTTTCTTTTTCAGAATTAGGGACCCACAAACACATTGTACCCGTTGACACAATCTAAAAGTTAGACCTTTTCACATTGAGAGTTAATGATTGTTTATTTTAGTTTTATATTGCCTTCAAGCTGGAAATTAGTTCTAATAGGTGTATAGTTTTATATAAACTTTTTCTGATATGATTTCCTTGGTGAGGCTTGGATTGTGTGTCTATTTTCACAAAGCACATTATGCCACCCTGTCCTGCTATTAGTAATGCTAATTTAACTGCTTGGCAAGGCTGTGGAGGTCACATCTTTCCATCATCAGGGAGGTGTCCCCTTGGCAAATACTAACCCGTAGGGTGACACTTGGACATCACATCCAGTTTCTGTCATGATTTTACTGGTAGCTTTGTATGCCTGATGGCCCTGAGTCAATTATTTTGGTAATGGTTAAAATCTCTTGTTATTTTTCTACATTCATCTGCAAATTCTGCAAAAATGGAGTTTCCTTTAACCCATGGGAGGTAATATGTAGTCCTTAAGAAGTTGCTGTTTTTTAAAGCAGGAATTTGGGAGGGTGGATAACTGAAAGAAACTACAATCCTATCATATGTAATATAAGCATTTGGGTTACTGAAACACGGGAGTTACGGTTTTAAAACAAATGACTCAGGGCCTGTGAGGTGGTTTATCAGTTAAAGGCACTTTCTGTGAGCCATCTAGATGGCCTGAGTTGGATTCTTCAGGCCTCGAGTAGTGAGTAGAGAATATGGACTCTTTCAAGTCGTTCCCTCACCTTTACATGTGTATACTTCCCCACCCTCCACATAAATTAGTAAGCATAAAATTAAAGGATATTAAATGTTCCACCAAAAGTAAATAATGTTTGAGTACTGGATATGACAATTAAACTGATTTATTTATTTATTTATTTATTTATTTATTTATTTATTTATAAAAGACAGGGTTTCTCTGTATTGTTTTGGAGGCTGTCGGTCCAGCCTGGCCTCGAACTCACAGAGATCCGCCTGCCTCTGCCTCCTGAATGCTGGGATTAAAGGCGTGCACCACCAATGCCCGGCTATGACAATTATACTAATTTATTTATTAAGCAAAAAATACATATGTCAAAATTTTCATTATATTCCAAATATTTGTATATTATGGAATAATTAGGAAAATGATGCATAAATACATGGTTCCTGAAAATAAAAAGAATTAAACCACTGAGTGGAGCTGTTTATTTATTATTTTAGATTTATTTGATCTTAAAATAAATGCCACCATGTTTTTATTTCATGGTTTTCTAACATTTTATTATTTAAACATTCAAACATATAGAAACATTGAAATGATTGTGCACTGGTGTTTACAAGCTAGACCTACCACATGATTGCACTGTGTGCTGGGTGTGTATCTGCATACATCCTTGCTTCTGCTCCTAAGTCTATCCACCTATCCACCCAACATATTTTAGAATGAATTTCAAAATAAGTTGCAAAGGCAAAACAATACACTCTTCCTAAACCTTTCAACTTCTTACTCAGTGTTTAATTCCAATGTCTCATTTCTTTTGAAGTTTTTTTTTTAAAAAATGAAATGTGAAGAACAACATTGAGTACCATTCTATAAATTCTAACGAAAGTCAAAGAGATGTAACCATCCTTACCCTGGAATCTTCTCTCCAATGCTTACCAATGGTCCTAGAGGCAAAGATGGCTATAGATGAGTTTCAGAAGTCCATAGAAGCAGAAACCAGACTGCTTTTCATGCTTGGCTCCTTCCTTTTTCTCACATCCTTTCATCTTTCTGGTTCTGTGGTAGAGCTCTTGCTTAATATGAAGAGGGGCTTGGGTTCAGAGAGAGAGAGAGAAAGAGAGGGGCGGGGCATCTTCCATTTTTTTGTCCTAGGATTTTAGACATTGGCTGTGTGATACACTTGTTGACTCTGTTCTGTATAAAAGTAAGTCCATTTTTCTTTATAAACCTGTAGTACCACTAATGCAAATGTTTTATGAATTAATGGAAAATGGGTCTTCTGAACAGGTTTGTCCATGTGCATTCAATCACAAAATCTCCTAAAACTGATCATTGGGGAATTTCAGATACCAAATAGGTCAGTAAGGATTTATAAGTGTAAGGGAATTTCATGAATGAACAAATAGATGGAAGTTCCTCCTACACATTAGTCAATTTGGTAGCTCTGGGCATGGGGAGATGAAAATGCCATTCCTGCCCACTGGATGAGCAAGGCCTTAGTCAAAACTAGAGTGAAAGGCATTTCTATGCTCTGCTGCTGGAAGTGCACACGGTGGCAACACCTTTGGAAAAGGATTACTCTGGCATTTGGTAACAAAGTAGGTGTATGGGCCGTGACTCAGCTGTTCTACCTGCCTTGCGGAGACACAGGCACATGTGGGCCAGGATTCTTGTTCAGGAGTGTTTGCAGCAGCGTTGTTTACAGGGGCTCCAAACTGGTCCAGCAGCTTTACAACGGATAAGTGAAATGTAGGCTACCAGACACAATGGCAGTCTAAAGAGAGGAGGTAACAAATGATGTGTAACTGAATACAATGACACCCTGGAAATGTAGACACAGCTTTGACAGGAAGGAAAATGACAGAGGACTTATGGGAATCTCCTCTTTATGACATCGAGGTGGTTAGCAGTAAACTGTGCATTTCAGTACAGATGTCTAAGTCATGAAGATGGAAGAGGGTGGGAGTGCCTGCTGGGAAGGCAGGAAAGTTTTGATGGTTGGCAGTGCACTGATGAGTAGAGCATTGCTGATACAGGATGCATGGGGTTGGAGAGCTTTGAGTTTTATGTAGGTTCTATGAAATTTTACACAATAATTATTTAATGCAACATATACTTATCTATGAATTATGTATGCTTTTATAAACAGCACAGAGTTCCAAAGATTAATCCCAGTTTGAATTTAGGTTGATAAGGAGGTTTGTCTGTGTGCTGATAGTTGCATAGGTGAAGTTTTCTTGACCAGGCTAGGAAGGTTAGGTGGAAGGTGACCCTGGAAAACGAAGAGAGAAATAGATAAAGGGCAGGGCGTTGAGGTAGAAGCAAGGCTCGTTCTAGGAAAGTGAGTTGTTTCACTGGTCAGCAAGTTAGGTCTGTGTGAGACTGTGAGCAAGGTGGCTGGTGAGACAGGCCAAAGAGTCATCTCTACAGGCTTTCAATTTCTAAAATTTCTTTCACCTCTTGAAACAAACAATGAAAGACTGGCAAAATCAGGGCGATCTACAGAAAAAGAGGCTGAGGGAAACGTGGATGGAAAAACTAAGGTGGACGAATGAGTAGAGAATGAACAGAGGAGGGGATGGGAAGAGGAGAGGGAGGGCAAGAGACAGGAGAATAGAGACATAATACAAAAAAATAAAAGCAGAGGGAAGAACTATGCCAAGAGGGGAGAAACAAGAAGCAGAAAAAATACTTGCAGCTAGACTCTGACGTGAATTTCCTGATCACGGGAAGATAGGACAAAGGTTAAAAGAGATGAAAAGCAGTGTGGTCATGAAGAAATTACTCAAAGATTTAAAAGAAACATGAAAATCAAAAGTTCACGAGGAAAAATGAAATGGGGTTATTTTTTATTTCTTTTCTTTCCTTTTTTAAGAAGAGAAAACATTTATAGGAAATCAGAAGGGTTCATATTTTAAAGCTCAATAAGACAAAGTAATAGAAAACAAGAATGACCTGAAAGTCTTCATAATTGGGTTGTTTAGGCTGTAGTATTAACTGAGGGGAGGACAAAAATAGAGAATGGACCAGGGAGACAGCTCCATGTTTAAATTTCTTGCCATGCAAACACAAGGACTTAAATTCCATCCTTCAAAACTCACCTTAAAAGCAGGGATGATGGTAGATTAGAGGAAGTCCTAACAGGTAGATCCCTAGGGCTTGCTGGCTAGTCAGCCTGGCCAAATCAGCCAGCTCTGAGCCAACGAAGGGACCTTGCCTTAAAAACTACTGTGGACCATATTCATGATGACACATGAACTTGGCCTCTGGCCTTCACATGTATGCAGATGTACAAACACAAACACAGACACAAAGAAAATACAGATCACAACACTACCAGATTTTCTAAGTTTCAATGCTATTGCTTCTTGTCTTTTCGAAAGTAAAACTGAAAGGTGGCAGAAAAGCTGAAAACACACCCTCATCCATCTGGAGCCACTCCTAGTCGTTAAAACAGGGGAATACCGACCATGGCAGAAAGGAATGCTCAACTTGGTAAAACTGGAGATGTGGATGGGAAAATACAAGTAGACGGTTGTTTAAGTTATGAGTTCACCTTCTCATCCCCTCGAGCTTAAGCACTAGCTCTGCTGGAAAGGCAAGTTACTAAGGAAGTGACTTCACACAGGCCTCTGCTCTGGAGTCATTTATGGCACGTGATTTCACTCAGTCTACCACATCTTGACCTAGTTGAGAACTGGGTCAGTCCCTTTTCTTTCTTTCCAAATAGAAGCCTAAAAAGCCACCATGCTTAAACAAGTATGCAGCCTGGGTTATTCTGTGCAATTGGTTTCCATTCTACTCTTTTGGAGATGCTAAGAAAAGTTACTCAAGTCCACCAAAGAGCTTATACTTAGTGTCCATTGAGCAAAGAAACAGGATCTGGGACAGTGCCAGGAAAGCAAACTTGTCCCAGCCCCCTGGTGTTAAACGGCAGTTCAGTGCCTATATGTGTCCCTCTCTGAGCAATTGGGGAGGTACATTTTGTATCAAAGATTTCTAAGAGGGTTACAAAGCAGAAGTGAGGTACACAAATGAGCAAGAAATCAACGTGGCTACATAGATCCAGACATGTGTCTCCAGACCATATAGAACATCTGTGAACTGATTGAGAGAGTAGTAATGTGACCAGACCTGCATTTGAAAGCAGAGCAGAAGTACTGATGTACAAGGGAGACCAGTGCTGGAGTGTGGAACCAGTATGAGAGGCTGCTGGCTGATGAGCAACTTTGGTCCGACGTGGACCACAAACACTCCTCAAAGCATCATTCTCTATGATGTCTTCCCATCCAGTTGGTTGATAAGACTCCAAGAAATGTTGTTGGATAAAATAAATTAGAGGATAATCTGTGAACTCTGAATTTCAAGCAAATAGCATAGTTCTTTTATTTATAATGTGTCTGGGTATGGGTATGCCACATGTGTAGGTGTCATGGTAGCCAGAAGAGTGTGACCGATCCTTTGGAACTGGAGTTATAGTTGATAGTGAGCTGTCCCGTGTGCATTCTGGGAACCATTCTTGGGTCCTCTGGAAGAGCAGCCAGTGTGCTTAGCTGATGAGCCTTCTCTCCAGCTCCCAGAATAGCTTTTTAAGAGAAATTATGTTCCACACATTCCCCCTTCCTCTTCCTCTGTCTGTTTGTTGAGGAGGTGCAGAGGATGTGTAGGCTGGAAGGACGCTTGTGATGATCAGAATTGTGTCCATGCTCAGAGAAAGAAACTGAATGCATGATTACCAAGTGCTTGCCAGGTAATTCAGTTGCAGTTTTCTTTCCTTAATGCGGCCCAGGCATTATTTATCTTCTATTTTCCTCCTCTTTTTTATGGAATTACCGCTCTCTTCACAATTCTTTCTACTCTATCTATTTATGTCCCCTAACATCGATATCAGGTACCCAAACACCATTCAACCATGTATCCATCTACTCCTTCCTTCCAACTGAGAACCATTATCTTTTAGTTGTTGTTGTTTTTTATCTCAAAAAAAAACACACTTGCAAGCCCACTAATCTTGACTTCCTTCAAATACTTCATACATTTTGTCATCCCTGCTGGGGTATGCCAGTAGTCATGGATACAAGAATGAACAAGTATGTATGCTACTATTTTCAAGATAAAGGAACATTTATCACTATAAATATGGGGAGAACAATTTCAGAATACAGGGAAATATTGTAAGAAGTGGCTGGAGGTGAAAATGTTGACACATGGATGTCTTTAAAAGAGTATTTAAGAATTCGGGTAGGTGAAAATAAAAACAATAACACAATGGCTTACTTGACTTGTATGTTTTTGTTCAAGGTTATCAGTTGATACTTTTGGTACAGCATGATTCCATTTTATCAGTTTATTATTGAAAATCTGTTTGCATATGGATATGTGGATGGAAACAGAAGCAACTTTCTTGAGGCTGTTTCTCTCAGCCAAAAACACTCTGTAACAAGGCAAAGAAGGGACCTCAGGGTTGCAGTCAGGTCCTGCCTTGTCTTACTCTTAGTGAAGAGGGTACTGTGGTTGGTGGTTTGTTCCATTGGAAAAGAAAGAGCCAGCAAATCCGGGAGACTTCTTTCCCGAGATCCCACTGGTACCCCAAACTGAACCCTTGGAGCTTAGTGTGGGTCCAAATGAGAAAGCTCCACCCAAGGGAACCTTCTTTTGAATATATACTATGGCACCAATGTCCATTTGGGAGCTGCCATTTTTCATTGTGTTTGAGAAGTATGATGGAAATTTGCTAGTCAGTGGCTGTACAGAGCACACCAGAACCTCCTGTATGGATAGTTTTACAAACAGACAGTTACTCAGCTCCATTTTAGGCCCAAAGTTCCTGGGGTATGGGTATTATGTTTTTCCAAACCAATCAAGTGTTATGAACCTTGCTATGATTCTGTGTTTTCATCCCTAACCAGTACTGCTTACATACCGATGACTTGTATGGGGTGTGGGACACACACTAGAAGTTATAGGGACATCCCATACAAAGATTTTATATAACCATACTAAAGAGTTTTTAGGGGGAAATGCTTTTTGGTGTGACTGTAGAAATCAGGGATTCCCTGAGGAGACGGGGCCAGGAGAGGCATTGTAACATAAGTATTACTTCCCGAGTGCTTACTGAGTCTCCAGGCATGCTCTGGGGTGGCCATGTATTACCACATCTGTCAAGGACTCGAGCAGGTATGCATTGCTATCAACCTCATGTTGCAGGAGAGGAAATGGAAGTTAAATATGAGGCCTGGAATCATGTTGCTTGTGTCTCCATAATTTTGAATGTGGCTTGATTCAGTATTTACCTCTTCACTAAGATTGGTGGGCAGGAGAAATCAGAGTTTGGTTGGGAAAGGGCTTACGGGGGATGGTTAAAGATGAAACTAGGTGTTCAGGCTTACAGTACATCAACTTTTAAGGGTGAGTCCAGGGAGAGCCTCACTCAAGGCAGAAGCTGAAAGAAAAGAGCACGTGGGACATCCCTAGTGGGAAGGAGCATGATGCCTGTTTGTGCAAAAGGAGAGACAGAAACTGACGCTTAGTATGAAGCATGTAACCTGTAAGGTTACCATTAGGATAATTTCCTGTTACCATGTGGCTGTCCTCTGTCCCCATGCAGCACAACACTGGACTTGAAGTTTCTAGAATGAGAGATGTATCAGTCTTTTCCTTTGTTTACACACCAGAAGAATGAGCCATGCTTGGAAAAGCAGAGAGAAGGGAAGCGTTTTCGAAGGATATGTTGTATTAACTTTTGGAAGGAGGGATTTATTTGGCTTATGATATAAAGGGTCATAGTTCATCACAGTGGGCGAGGCATGGTGGAGGAGGCTGGCAGTGGAACTTGGCATATCTCATTAGACCAGGAAGCTGAGACCTGACAAGAAGTGAGGCTGGACTATAATCCGGAAGCCTTTCTCCCCAGAAATCCACTTAGTTCAGATTTAAAACAGACCTCATCAAGTCCCACAACTTCCCAGAATACCAGCAGCAGCAGTGGACTAAGCATTTAAATGCATGGGCATGTGGAGGGCATTTCATATCAAATCATAACAAGGTCTCAAGGACGAAGGCTGTGGAGACGGGTATAAGGAAGGGGTGGGGTCTGGCCATTTTGAAAGACATGTCCTGGTGGTTTTCTCTGAGCTGTCCTATAGAAGAAAGTTAGCTTGCTGAGTGTAATCCCAAGATCCAATCTGGTAATACACAGAGAAAGAAAGACTTAATGACAAGAGAAAACTCTGTCCAAGGACCTTGGAAAACATCTCTCATGTTATTACAAAG